TGAACGTGTAATACAGGTAAGTATTACTGAATCTGTCTTACGCCAGGTTGGGCAGGTGAAAGTGTAGGAGGTTGACTTACGTCAAATTACTATTGATACCTTTAAGAATCAGAATCCCTTTTCCTAACCTCCTCTCCTTTCTCCCCTTCCCTTCAATTTCTCGCGATTTTCTTAGTAACAAGGGGCAGACCCACGAAGTCTGAATTAATTTTTTGGGCGAGACAAATTCAGGCTAACAATATACAATTACAACTACTTTACGGGTATAACCCGACAATTGGTACTCATTTTCGTCGAGGAGACGGAATTCCCTGCTCCCGCTTTTCTTGATCGTACCTAGCAGTGGTACTCATGGGATCTACGTCAAGTAACACGAACTCTGGGTCTCTTCTCCATGGCCTAATATTATCAACATATTGATGATATTTGGCCCCGTTTCGATCAATCTTGTATACTCCTTCCCCAATGATCCGATTAACTCGGTATGGTCTCGACCAGGTCCCTAGAGCTTTTTGGGTTCTAGGAAAGTTTCTGACCAAAACTTCCTCATTGAGTTGAAACTTTACTGGAGCATTCCGTGGATAAAAATAAACTCCGATTAAAAACTGTCTGACGTTGCCTCATTTTCCGCTCTCTCTGTTGACGAGCTGTTGACGAGCAAATAATATTTCTCCGTTAACTTGGTCCCACAAGGCTGGTGACTTCCCTTGCAAATGGATTCGTAATAATTTTTCAATCTCTTGATTTCGGCGCTCCACGGGATTGGAGCGGTGATGGTATATGGGAGTAGTATATTGTCGAATGCTATATCGTTCGTGGAATCTGTCCCATGCGGTGTTCCGGAACACGGAGGCATTGTCCGTGATCACCTCCTTCTGGTAATCTCAGCGTTGGAAGACCTCCTCTAAAAAGGTTAAGACATTTTGGGTTCACATCTCCAGCACCGCCTTTGTTTCAGTCCACTTAGTACAGAGATCGGTTATAATAATTAAATATGGATTTTTATCGCCTGGTAACTGGATATGGCCCCATTATGTCTAAACTAATAGTTTACTAGGGTCTTTTCGGTGGGTGCGGTCGTAATGGTGTCCGGTCCTGGAGTTCGATTCTTGACGGTGAGAGAATAGAATGCTCCCTGGGAAACGTTCCCTCATTTCGCTCTACTACTGTTCTATCAGAAAATTCATACTGTATTCTCGACACAAAGAGATCGAACCATGAAAGTGAAGAACAAGGAACAATGTTGTCAAATGTACCGACCAATTAGAAAGCACTAAATAGGCGGTAAAATGAAAACTAGTGATGAACTACTCATGAAATAAGTGCTACTTTATTTAAAGTTATTGTTATTTGTCTATCAGTGTCATAGTCCACGGGCCCACGTACAAAGAAAAAAATGATTACCAGCAAGCTGTAACTTTGCGTGCAGCTTAAGTTTGGCGAATCTCCCAAGATTTAAGTACGAGGAAAATTCAACAGTGGTAAGTTTTCCCGTGCTTTTCAGGAAAACATGTCAATCTGGCATAAACATGGAATGATATCCCCAGCACTTTTTTTTAAGTTTAACCATGTTGTCGTTAAGTCGACGTCTTCGGGGTGTCGGACTGCAAAAACTTCTCAAGAATTTTGTCGGACAATAAGATACTTTCATTTCAAATCTTATTACCAAACCCTCCCAGAAAAATCAGCTTGCTGGTTGTCACCAACCATAATGTCACCAAATCAACATATTTGGGGTGGAGGACAAACTCAAAATACCAACATTTTTGTCGGACAAATTTTTTGGGGGGTTTAAGAAAAATATATCTTTCATTTAAACTTAAAAAAAAAGTGCTGGTCATAACATTCCATGTTTATGCCAGATTGACATGTTTTCCTGAAAATCACGAGAAAACTTACCACTGTTGAATTTTCCTGGTAGTCAAATCTTGGGAGACTCGTCAAACTTAAGCTGCACGCAAAGTTACAGCTTGCTGGTAATCATTTTTTTCTTTGTACGTGGGCCCGTGGTCTATCAGGTGCAGTCTAAAAAGGAAAGAAAATGGAAATTAATAAAAAACCCAAGCTAAATCCATTAAGTTCTAAACAAAATGACTTCTAATAAATTGTATTGAGGGTAAAAAACAAATGTATGTAGCTGCACTAGAGAGAAAATGAGGGCTAACTAGGAAGAACTTACATATATTTTATTAGTGTATTAGACAGATCCATTTTATTCTATTATTGTTTTATTCGTGTATTGTAGAATCCTCCAAGTAAACACAAATTTTCCTCAAATTTCTCGAAGGATGTCACCACAAAACAGTAACTAGCGGTATTACAGACAGATTGCGGAATTCGTAATTTGTGAAACATGTTAAAAAATATAGAGTTAGGTTTAATAATCCCTGCCCGTTCCCCCGAAATTATCAGTAGAAAAAATAGGGAACAATTCTTCTATCATTACTCAATGGAACACCATTCAAGAATATCGATTAATGAGTTTTAGTAGAGGCACGCCCCCTTTCTCCCGTTCCTTCTACTCCCTATAATTCAAGAATAAAGTCCCTGTACTGTTCCTCCTTTTTTAGATGATGCACAAATAAGGCAGTGCTCGTTTGTTTTGTTTCCGCACGGCTGGCCAATAATACAATTCCGTGACGGCGTTTATTGTTTCTTCTCGACCCGGGTGTCCCGTAGTCGTAGTCATGGTACTGATATTTAACTCATTGCTATAGGTCTAAAGGTATTACCAATTGTTTCCTTCCATTGTGGGTGTACCAAATTAAATTCAACTCGGCAATCATTCACTGCCAATTTTCGGTTGCCCTCTCTTCTCCTACCCTGAGATGGTGCCATCGCGAATATGTCGCTCGATATTCCGAACTTTGATTTTGGGCGTTAATTACATCGTCGTATAGGAATGTTCCAGGTGCTTCTTTAACAGCACTTCAGTGGTTAATGTGTATTTGAACGGGGATTTCCCAATCAGATCTGTCAAAGGGGCGGTCAAAATGGCGAAATCGGGGACATAATCCCGTATCCAATTAGCCATCCCTAGAAAGCATTGTAGCTCCTTTTGTGTCTTCAGAGTAGGAAAGTGCGACATTATTGTAAGCGGTAACCTTAGCGCACATCTCAACCCGTGCATTTGCAGCCGTTCTAACAGTCGGAGAAGATGTTGGACATATTCTTCTGGTATATGCGAGTAAATTATTATGTCGTCCAGATACACATATACAAAGTCGTTGATGAATCCCTCTAATGCTTCAGTCATCAACTTGAAATGTCGTCATAAGACGCCTCCCCCTCCGGCGTAGTGAAAGCAGTCGACTCCCTATGTCCATGGGGACTTGCCTGTTTCGCAACATAAGTTCAACAAGCTGAATATTCTTGCCGTGCCTATTCCTCTCAAAATATCTCTTACTACTGGCAATTGAGCTACCTCATCCTCCATTATCTGATTAAGCTGTCGATAATCAACACATAACCTCGGGGTTCCATCAGCTTTAGTCACAAGTTCAATGAATTCTGATGAATATTGATATCTTCGAATATGAAAAGGCTTGTTATCCTTAAGCCTAATTTTGTGAACTACAAGTTTGGTTTGTGGCCGGTGCAGCTTCTGTTTAAAAACCACAGCAAAATCACTCAACACGGCCTCTTATCGCTCCCTGTTTCATTCAGACATTCTGTCCCGTCAGTCTCACCGGTCTTCTGTTAATAAAGCGGCGGCTCTTGTTTTCCAATAAATCACTTTTCGTATTAATTTGCCAAAATATAATCCATGTAGGGGAATGTCAATGGTAGCTTCTTCTTGGGTCAACCCATCCATTTCCAAAATTAAGTCCTCATTCAGACCTTTTACGATATATGGGTGTATTTGGATAGACACTGTAAATCGTTACGGTAATACGTCACAAGATGACTTGGCCATTGGGTAGACAAACTTCCCGTTCCACATTTTCAATAATTTACTGACAGCTCTCTTCTCTAATAAAAGAGTTAGTAGAAGTAAAGAACACTACGTTAAAGAGCACAAATCTATTGTTCTGAATCTGCCTTACGTCAGGTTGGGGAGGTGAAAGTGTAGGAGGTTGACTCACGTCAAATTACTACGGGCACCTTTCAGAATCAGAATCCCTTTTCCTAGCCTCCTCGCCTTTCTTCCTCTATTCAATTTCACTTGAGAATTACTTTGACTTTTTTGTATCAAGTTCCGGGACATCCCGTATACATATATACTGTGTCCCAAAATGATGGAACAAAATTCATATTTTTTTTTCCAGTCAAATTTTAATAAATAGCTGAAACAGGAAATTGTCACTTTTCTGCAATATTTTCTATTTTTTTGAGCCATGTTTGATAGACCTATAACATTACTGGCATTGTTTTAATAGGGCGCTCTATATTTTATAGTACTAGAAAGGTAGGCAAGTTGACCTTTTTCTCGGGTCTTCGGCACTCGGTGTTGCATTTTCTGTAGGTAAATAATATATAACATTTAAAAAAAAGAAAAAATGCGACTCGCCCGTATTTCGAACCCCGGACTTTCGACTTCGCAGTCGCAAGTTTACAAAATGAGCTACGGCGATCTAACGCTGGGTGGAGCGGGCTATTTGTAACCGTAGGTCTCCGCGAATGTAAACAGAAAATTGTAGCATCTTTAAAATAACGACTCACCGAAGCCCGATTGGTCGGAAAAACGCATCAAATGACAAAATTTATGTTTGACGTCTTCTCTGACGTTGGTTTCCATCTCCGTCTAAATATCGAATATACTTCGGGTATCTCTCTCGCACCGAAAAATGTCAATTTTCGGTGAACTCTTTTTAAAGTGGAAATTTCACATAAAAGGCGCGAACAGATTGCGTTCAGAATACGACCTTGGGATAAAGGAAGGACCGAAGGACCCTTCGGATCCCTCGGCTCGCCGCTTCGCGGCTCGCGAGGAAAGCCTTTGATATGGCAAGTCGTCTCTTTTCGTGGCCGAGTGTGGGAACGAAAGCAACCTACAGCTTTTAATATATAAGGACTAGAAATATAAGCAAGTCGGCGAAGCCGACTTGACGTTTCTCTCGGGCCTTCGGCCCTTGGGCCGCGCTACGAGCTCTGCGATCACCATCATCTACAGCATCATCATCTACATCACTATAATCTACAGCACCATCATTTACATCTCCATTATCTACATCACCATCATCTACATCATTTATATCACCATAATCTACATTGCCATCATCAACATCACATCTAAATCGCCTTCGTATACATCACCATCATCTACGTCGCCATCACCTACATCACCATTATCTACATCACCATAATCTACATCGCCATCATCTACACCACCATCATCTACATCGCCATTATCTACATCGTCATTATCTACATCATAATTTACAGCACCATCATCAACATCACCATCATCTACATCGCCATCATCTACATTATCTACATTTCTATCATCTACATCACCATCACCTACATCGGCATCGTCTTCATCACCATCATCTACATCGCCATCATCTATTACAGCAACATCTATATCACCATCATCTACATCACCAACATCTACACCATCATCATCTACACCGCCATCATCTACATTACCATCATCTACGCCACCATCATCTACGCCACCATCATCTACGCCACCATCATCCACGTAACCATCATCTACACCACCATCATCTACATCACTATCGTCTACATCGCCATCAGCTACATTACCATCATCTACATTATTATAACCATTCAAATGTCGGTCGATTTTGTGAAACATTCTGTATAGAAAATTTTAAAATGGCATCTGATTAGCATATAAAAATTTTTTCATGAATAGGTTTTCCTAAATAAAGTAGAAGAAATAAATATGATATTAAACGAAATATGATGATCCACGGGGTTTGTCCTGGATCAATTTTATAGAACATGCAGTATATTGTAAAGCTTCAGAAACATCTTATAAAATTGTTCATCAAAACACCTCAAAAAATAAAGTATATAATGAAATAAAAAGAATATGAACACCTGCAATTCTGACCTGGAACAATTTTGTTGGAACATTCAGTATAAAAATTATCAAAAAAGCATTGTGTTAGTAAATGCACAATTTTTCATCAATGAACTACCAAAGAAAGTAGAAAAAGGTAAAAAGGGTAAAAAAATATTTGGTCTGCCGCCATTTTATTTTGGGTTCATTTTTAATGTAGATCAATTTATGCAACATCCAGTATAAACTTCCAAAATGGTTAACTATATAACTTTCCATGAAAAGATTTCAATAAAAAAGTAGGAAAAGTTATATGTATGTATCTCGAAAACAGGGCGTCTAAGAAAAAACTTTACATGAACTATCCCTATTATTGTTCCATGAGGAACTTGCACACAAGTTTTTTTGAAACATGAACGGGACACCCTGTATACAGGGTGGCCCGCTGTAATGTCCGGAAGAGGGAAAAGGTCTTTGTTTGTGGGTTTACGACAAAGTCACTCTTTGTAAAAACTTCTTGTTCCTGCTTGTTCACCCAAACCATAGCACTGAACAAATTTATTACCTAATTAATAACGAAGTGACTTTGACTAAAGATAGTAAACATTATTTATTTGGTTGTTATAGCCACAGCATTCG